ACTGTAATGACACCGACACAAAACAATGAAATGTTAAAAAAGAAAACCAACCAAAACAGAACAACTAACAATAAAGATGACTAAAACTCCATAGAATGAAGACTGAGGAAATAAATGAATAAAATAGAATAAAAATGAAGGTAAGCCTGTGCGCAAACACATGCACGGACACACACAACCAGGAGCTAACGTGGGCCGGGGCAGCACTGAGTCCAACCTGTGTAACAGCAGCAACAGAATGTTTGCTGATCCGACGGCGGTCTTGAAACGGAGCCTCTGGGGTTTGTGCCTGCTAAATTCAAGTTACTACAGCTGCAGCCTGTGAGCTGCTGCCCACTCACCTCCTGGTGAAGTAAAGCAAAAATACTGTTGCCCCTACTGCTGGACTGAAGGTTGTCCCTCCCACCCATCCTGCAGACCAGCCTCTGATCAGAACCACAGACAGCTAATACTTACGATAGTTTTCATAGCGGACACTGGCACAGACATCGTTTGAACCGCGGCAGGTCTCTGTACGCCCTGAACATAACTTTGCACCTCCACACCAACACTCCAAGGCTTCACCTGGACAAAGAAAATAAAATTCATGTTCAGCAGTTGTATACAAGCTAGTGCTGCATTTTCACAGCCACATGATTGTCCTTTAGCTCTAAAATCTGCTCACAAAAAACACAGGAAACAGAAAATGAATGTACAGGTGTTATTAATCAGCTGCAGGTTTGTAGTGTTTCCTGTACATGAACTCACCCTGGCTGACAACCAGCAACACCACAAGAGCAAGAATCACAGTCTTCATGTTCTCACGTGTCTGTCCACTGATCTCTGTGTGAATAAAGCAAAGGTGGAAAAGAGTCAGAAATCAAATGAGACATTTAGTGGTGAACACTGTAATCATGCACATGTCAAAAAACTTAAACATAGCCCACCTGGTAAATTGTCCCACTGGAGTTTGGATTCCTCAGATGTGCTCTGTGGGTCGCCTGCTTTGGTTTTATTGCGATTGTTGTGTAATCTAAATCAAATCCAGTGTATCATTAACCCTGAAATCTTTATCTGGCTTTCACTTGCAAACAGAGTGATTTGTCAAGGACAGACATTGATCCTGCAAAACCTGCCGTGACCACACAGAGAACTGCAAATATTTTAAACTGTAAACAAAAACTGAATCAATATTAATATTAACTTTAAATTGTCTGAGTAACAAATTTGAAAAAGCACCATCATGTTATTATGATAGAGATCAAACAAAAATGAAAAATGGTCTCATTTTGAATTGAGAATTGTAGTTTGAGGGCAGGTTTTTAGCACAAAGTCTAAATACTGAAATTGTTCCAAGAGGTGTGACTGAGAGCTCCTGGACATTTCCAGTTCGTGGACCTTGTGAGAAGACAAGCTCTTTTGCAACAAAAGCAAACTTGAACTTTGATAAAAATGAGATAGTGAAGCACAACAGCCAAAAACAGAAGGGTGGAGGAGGGGGAGACATCTTTCTATGTCCTGCTCCTACCTCAGTTTGCATTTTGTTGCTGCCCTCAGGTTTCCATGAACTACATACACTGGCCACCTTATTAGGTACACCTGTGCAACTGCTCGTTAACGCAATTAGCTAATCAGCCAATCACGTGGCAGCAACTCAATGCATTTAGGCATGTAGACATGGTCAAGACGACCTGCTGAAGTTCAAACCGAGCATCAGAATGAGGAAGAAAGGTGATTTAAGTGACTTTGAACGTGGCATGGTTGTTGGAGCTAGTATTTCAGAAACTGCTGATCTACTGGGATTTTCACACACAACCATCTCTAGGGTTTACAGAGGATGGTCCCACAAAGAGAACATATCCAGTGAGCAGCAGTTCTCTGGGTGAAAATGCCTTGTTGATGCCAGAGGTCAGAGGAAAATGGCCAGACTGGTTCAAGATGATAGAAAAGCAACGGTAACTCAGATAACTACTGGTTACAACCAAGGTCTGCAGGAGACCATCTCTGAACCAACAACACGTCCAACCTTGAAGCAGATGGGCTACAGCAGCAGAAGACCACACCAGGTGCCACTCCTGTCAGCTAACAACAGGAAACTGAGGCTACAGTTCACACAGACTCACCAAAACTGGACAATAGATTGGAAAACATTGCCTGGTCTGATGAGTCTGGATTTCTGCTGCCACATTCAGATGGCAGGGTCAGAATTTGGTGTAAACAACATGAAAGCATGGATCCATCCTGCCTTGTATCAACGGTTCAGGCTGGTGGTGGTGGTGTAATGGTGTGGGGGATATTTTCTTGGCACACTTTGGGCCCCTTAGTACCAACTGAGCATTGCCACTGCCTTGAGCTTCTAGTGGTGTGTGTGCACCTTATAACTAGTAACCAACATGCACTAGGGCCTGTTACAATAGCGTGCACTGGGGCCTGTGGTAAAGACCGTAAATTACGCCACTGGTGTCAGGTGACATCCACATGAATGTTAGGATCTGAGGTTTCCCAGTAGAACATTGCATTATAAGAAATGATCAATGTTATTTACTACTTAGCCAGTTGTTTTAATGTTCTGGGGGGTCACTGTATTTCAAGCTCTGATTATTTCTTGTTTATTCGAGAAAGATTTAGTTTGAAATAAATGTCAATTTCTGAGATCTGTTAGTTTAAAAATACTTAAATAAATGGAAATCCCTTTCCCTGGATTGTCATTATCACTAAATGATAAAGTGAGATCTATTGAAACAACATAATGAAATACACACTATGGGTTTCTTTTTCTAACACTCATGTCAGCATCTCATCCACCACAAGGTGGTGCAATGTGATAGAGAAAGAGAAACCTCAGCAAAGTGTGATCAGCAGTACTGAGATTTATCAGTGACAAACTGAAAGAAGCTCAACTATTTGCAGATGGAGGTCTCCAAAAGCATAAAAAAGGAGGATAAAGGTGTCATTTGTCTCGCCTGAATGGGTGCAGTAGAGCTAACAGGAGAGTCAGGGAGAGTCTGTTCACGTCCAAAGAATTAGAAGCACGTGTGTGGGTGTATCAGGGATATGCAGGACCTATAGGGTGTAGTCAAGGAAATGGCTGAATTTCAAGGATTCTACGTCATCGAATCCCGCCTAAGGACTGTTCCAGTGTCAAGAATCCCTGAAATTCTACCAAGGACAGAGTCCTACCTTCAGAGACATTTCAAGGATGCATGTGTGTACCCTCAGCAGGTATAAAGTACCCACAGTTCTTTGCGCACAAGGCCTCCTCAATGAAATCTGCGCCGGCGGAGACTGCCAAAATTATCACAGTAATCTGAAACCCCCTCAGTCTGCTGAGAGTTAATGAGGCACAACTGGGGACACTTGTTAGCCTGTTCCAATGTGTGTTCACCGAATGCTGGGAAGGACTCTTGCCTTACCTCTGTAGGATCCTTCCTTGGGAAGACCCATCCTTCCTAGGAAGGATCCTTGACTTTGAGAAACACCATTAATGTTTGTTTTTTTGGGAGGGTGGCTGGACACTTCTTAAATTATAGGTGATTTGTCTGTGAAAACAACATGGAAAAGGTCTACATTTTGAAAAGTAACTTGAAAAACATTAAATAAAGGCAATTAAAAATATGAATATACTTGTTTTGTGCCTTTAATTC